GGGGGGGGGGGGAGAGGTGGTGTTTGGCAAATCAATTAACAAGCAAAAAAAATGTTTTCTCCACAAATACATTACATTTAATTCTCTTAGTCTGCATCATAACTTTGTGAAGTATATCACATCAAAATTAAATATAGCCTAGAAAATGACAAGGATCAAAACCTCCACCACAAAGACCTCAAAAAAGTTTTAATCTATATATAGTACCATAGGTTAGTTTCATTAACATAACACAGCATCTTGGCCTTTGATGACAAGAGTAATGATTTTTTTTTCTGTCAAATTTGACAATGGTATAGAATTCACAGGAAAATTTTCATTTTTTAGAAAGATAAGCTGATTGCCTAGACAGCAAATAAGCTCTCTCCATGAATCTGGATAACCCAAGGGAACATCATGCGTGGATGATACACATTGGCACCAGTAGCATCATAGGAAATGCTGGAATTTTCATTATGTCATTGGTATACAGTCTACAGAACTCAATCTCCAGGTTTGAATGATTAGTCACATAAATAACATCCACAGGATACGAAATAGATGTTTGATGGCTGTGTGGTCAAGGGTGTCTGCATTAAAACATGGCATACAATACCATGACGAACAAAACCAGACACTTCTGGTAGCTGGGACTTTTCAACCTCAGATGGAAAATTAAAAATAAAAATCTCCACTGCCTTATGACGTAATAGCACACACTAAAACTGTGCACACCCACAGATAAGCACACAGAAAAATGTTGAATTATTCTTTTTAGAAAAAATTAATGGAATAGGAATTGTAATATTCTGAAGTGCACCTTTTGAAAAATGGATCCCAACTTACTTGGGTTTTAAATATCTTCATTTTTGCACTAAAGAAAGGGTGTTGACTTGGAGATGCTGGAGAAATTGAGCTACGAAGTGTCATTTGAATATGAAGACAAAAAATCACACCATAGTAGGACCACCAACTGAAGATTAACATGATTCCCATCCTTAAAAAGCAGATATCAACATTTCCAGTTCCAGAAGACAAATGAAGAAAGCCATGACATCAGTTAATGCTTCCTCTAATACTATACTATATGGCAATGGGAATGTATTTGGGCATTTTAGAAAATTATTTTATTCTTTTTTAAATGCACTTTTTATCATACTCATACATGCCACCCTGTAAGGTTTACCCATACTTTTGAATTGTATGGCCATGCAGGATTCTGTACATTTTTTCAGTGAATTTAGAAAAAGAAATATTTTTGCACACAACAGTGACGGCACATTATTTAAAATCTGAACTGGCAGTGCAATAAATTGGTCAACAGGAAGCTGGAATCCTATTGGTCTGTTCAAAATTACCTTTGGTTTCAAACGCTGAGATTGGTAGACTATCTATAATTATAAACTGAGCAGGTTTCGTTCTGACCAATTGTAAATAGTACAACAGCAGTGTTAAGTATTAGCTACTTTGATAGTAAATCATGATTACAAATCAGTTTGTTAAACTGTTATTATAACTTCCAATTCATACTTTATATCCCCATGCCATAGTGCCAATAGTAAAAAAAGAAACAAAACAATCCACAGGACTTTTCCCTTGGTACCATGAAAAATATGGCTTTAATTGATGGTAAACTTAATAACTTTGTGTTGTCAAGACGAATAAAATGTATTTCACTTCATTAATATAAAGTCAATACATTACAGTTATACTGTAAATTATAGTGTATTACTACACAGTTCACCGCTAGCATAATTAACCGAGGTATATGTCTAATTAAAATTATATCCAAATGGTTAACAAATTCATCAGTTTTTGGACCTATTGTAAAAATTTTGATGCCCACAGATTGGCAAGTATGAACTTAACAACTTGCTTTTCAACTGAACCAATTTTAACTTTAAAAATTTTGTGTTAAAAAAATTTGTTTATGCATTTTTTATGTGTAAATGTACAAGTTACAATCATATGTTCCTACAACAAGCCTGCACAACATACGGCCCGCCAGTACCCACTCTGGGGCCCACGACGTAACTTAAAACAACTAGTAACTACTTAATTGACTTTGACTTATTAATTTAAACTTATTACTAACTTTTAACTACGTAACTCTACTTACTTAGACTTACCGGTTCATCTAAAACTAGCTAGTTACTTATTACTAGTCGCTAAAATCAGTCATACTCACCGTCTGCGGCTATGATAAAAATAAACAGCGGTACCTAAACAGCTCTTTTAATTTAGGCGTATTAGTATTATATAATTCTTAATAATTTTGTAAATGTTTGCATAACATAAAGGGTAAGGTGCCGTAAAACCAGGGCTGCCACTCACTTTTTTCAAAATTCCCAAGATTTGGTGAACAAATTTCCCAAGATTTCCCAAGATCATACAAATATATAAGATTTTTTTTTTTTAAAGGGTGGTTTTCTATGTAATTAATGTAATAATAGATTGAATCAATGCCCCTGAAAAACATGGTATATTAATGGACTGAAATTTATTGAAAAAGACATTTAAAACATGTTTATCACATTAAAAAAAAAAAAATTTGTTTTTAAAAAAATAATTTATAATCCAAAATATCAATACCCACTGGAGTTAGGCTACTAAATATTACCTCCGAATTCTCTGATAAAAATATAATCTACAATACATGTGTAATAGAAGTCACTTGGAAAAAAAAAGCATACAAGGCTAATCAACACAGAATTCCTTTTACAAAGGCAAAAGTTTCTTCATCAAAAAATGATTTTTTATTATTGTAAATCTGTTGATTACAAGTGGGGTTTGCAAAGCAATTAAGCAAAATTTATTAATAATAATTGTAGTTAAAATGGATTGATATTACGATGAAAACAATAAGTGTTTTATTTTTTCTTGTAAAATTTACATTATAACGATTTTTTCACCAAAAAAAAAATACTTTTAAAGGAATTGTTCATTTATAATCCTACAACGTAGGCCTATACTGCCTATACTATTAATATCTTAGTTACCCGTGTTTCAATCCACAAATATTTTTTCTAATTGATGAAAATTAGGCTGGATTTTTTACAGATGCATTATATTTTGAACACATTGTAGAAGTAATTGAAATAATAAAATTCTACTATGGCATGGATTCTTGATTGAACACTATCGTTCACTCTTTGGCTTGTACTGTTTTTCGTATGGTTGCTAATGTCTAAGAGCATAATGATAAAGTTTCCGAGCCTACCCCCCCCCCCCTTTAATAAACATTCAAAACCTGGATGTAATTTGTAAATCTTCAATTTTTTTTTTTTAAAGAGAAAATTGAATTTTTTTTTAAATTATTAACTTTTTAATAATTCACAATATTAACTTTAAAATCAGAAGAGTTTTTATTTATTTTATGAGTGGATTTAAAAATTAAAACCAGAAAAGAAAATGAAAACAATTAATTTTTTGCCTTGTTACTTTAAAAATTATTTTGCTTTATTTTTACTTTATTTTTTATCAGATATTGTTGCGTTTTTTTCGAAAAATATAACAAAATTTTCCCCTCAGTTAAGATTTCCCAAGGTTTTGCATGATTTTCAAAATTATTCCCCAGATCCCAAGGGGGGTCGTGAATTCCCAAGACCTAGGGAAATTTCCCAAGGTGTGGTAGCCCTGCGTAAAACCTCTTCTTTTCGGGGAAAGCAATATAGTTACACTAATTGACTACTTAATTTTTGTATATTTATCACTGAAGTCAATGATACAAGAGATTCGCAATATTACTATTTATATTTTCAAATGATATAAATTAGTATTTTCTTATATTATATTATTTATACCTTCGTATGGCAATTAAATTATAAGATTTCAAATCAGTTTGATATTTAGATATACTCCCCTTTCACTTCCTTTGCTTTTAAATAGAAATCATTGGGATTTAAGAGAGAAAAAAATGGTTGCACCATGGCACCAATGTTAATCTTAAAACTGCATCATTGATTCATTCATGATTCATCATGTCATAAGTAAATTTAAACAGTAGTTTGCAATGCGGAGGAAAAGCTCCCCCATTTTCTTCAACAATGCAAGGTGTTTGAGACTGGCATAGCTAGTAATTGTGCCGCCAGGGGGGGGGGGGGGGGGGGGGGGGGGGGGGGGGGGGGGGGGGGGGGGTGTTTTAACTAAGTTTGACACCCCCCTCTCTTTTAGTAACACTAGATTATTAGATACTGGGTGGGCCTGTGTGTTTATTTATTGTAATTGTTGTATTATTTTGCTGTTACATTATATGCTAAACGATTGGTAGTTTTGAATAACTTTTTTTCCAAATGTTGGTGTCATTCATTTATGCTTCTGTCAAAAAGGTTTGCTGAAGATTTCTCACTCATTACTTTCATTTCTTACTTTTTAACGAACACATTCACGCCATGAATGTACATTTTAAAATTATTAAATTTTAAGCATGTTTATCAAACTTTCGTTAAATAGTTTTGCTTGTACATGCAAAACAATGTCGTTAAGTGATTATCTAGATATTATGTACTACTACTAGCAAGTTACTTATCAAGCATGATCTTGAGACTAAATTATATTATTTCATATTCTGGTGGGGTTTGCGCTTTCTTTATAGCCCCAGCTAACACACTGGCAACAGCTCAGGCATAGCTCCATCTGCTTGGTTATTCCTTTCATTTTATTAATGTAGGACTGGCCTGCCACCCAGGCCTCCCTAAGTTCAAGTTTGGGGCATCAAGTCCCTGCTGTGCTCTAGCCTTTTAAATAAGGACTATGTTGCTGGGATTTCAGTTTCAACCATGGATCAGGCTAGCTGGGATGGGGCCTGTAATTCGTTAGTGGTCTGCCCCCCAAGTTTTGATACAGAGAAAGGTGACTGGTTTTGTTGATCTTGGGACTGGAATCACTGGATAAAAATTCTTTTGATATAACAGAAAACTTTGAAAGGCAAGTAATTTTTTTATTAAGCTTTGGATTTAATAGAAAAACTTGTAACTAAGATGCAACTGCTTGTTTTAAAATTAACTAATTTCTTTTAAAGTAATTGTTACTTGAATGCGCATTATAATAAATGTGCCATCTTATTTCTTTTTTAAATATCAATATTTTCCAAAATAGTTTGTGTCTTTTTAGTTGAATTTACTCAATAAATCTGCTAATTTTTAATGGATTTTATTTAATTTTAATTTTGAAAGAATGTACTTTGTGCGTTCAAAACTTGTTACAAATGGAGGCTTAGCTATTTTTTGTGAACTGAAATGATCTCACGATTATGGCATGCGACATAGGACTCATTACATCCATACACTGTTTCAATTTATGATCAGGAAAGGATTTAAAAAATGAAACATACTTTTTCAAACAGCAATATTTATCTCAATAAATTTTCTTAGAAATGACAGCATGTAGATGTGAAATTCACATAAAAATATATTCAAAGAACTATAAAAATTACTAAAATTTAGACAATACAAAACAAGAAAAAAGGGCTAGGAAAAAAAAAGTCCACTAATGAAATAAAAATTAATAATAATCATTATTTCCATAAGGTGCATGTATTCATGTAGAGATTTTGTTAACTCCTGTACAAATCCATCATGAAATGAAAGAATCAGTTGAAGGAGAAACAGGAGAGCAGATGTGACAGAATTAAAAATATTTCACTGAAGTTTTTTTTTTTTTTTATGTCAGATCAGTGGGTTTGTGCTCACGTTTTTCATAAATTCTGCGCCTAGACAAATCTGTGGCGCTTTTCATCTAACAAGATGTTCCTAAATTGGGCACATCCCTCTCCTAAAAAAAAAAAAAGAAAAAAAAAAAAAAAATAAAGAAAAAAAAAAAAAGAAAATGTTACAGAATTAAAAATATTTCACTGAAGTTTTTTTTTTTTTTTATGTCAGATCAGTGGGTTTGTGCTCACGTTTTTCATAAATTCTGCGCCTAGACAAATCTGTGGAGCTTTTCATCTAACAAGATGTTCCTAAATTGGGCACATCCCTCTCCAACAAACAAGGGGCCATCCTTATAATATGTAAACCAAAAAAGTCAAATTTTCTACCTCTCAATCCCCACTGTTTCAAGAGTACTTTTTAGACCACCCATATGGTAAGCGTGTCAAAAATAAAAAAATATTCTAGTTCTAAGAACCACTGGTGTAGTAAAACTAAATTAACTCAATACCGGTACATCATAATGTGGAACATACAAAAGGGCAATAAATAATAACCACTATTTTAAACCTGCCCATTCCCCCCTCCGGGCCTCATCACAAATTTGTGACACATATTAGATGCATGTACCTCACTTAATGATGGACTAAATATAACTGTTACTACCCTAATTCTAGTGTGATATCAGGAGAGTTCAATTGTGAAAACACAAAGCAACAGTACCACTACAATTATAAAACATCCTGATATTTTTACAGCATTAGATTTATGGACTGTCAGAAATTCAGGTCAATTTTTAAATTATATTTTTGTGAATAAATGTATGGACTATCTGCAGATAAATCGACAAATCCCACAGTCCTTAGTGTGTACATACTTTATGGATGGCCAAACAAAATTTTATAACATTTTCTTTCATGGATAAAGTCTATATCATCATGTCATTTTGATTGAATAAAAAGCATGCTTCTCTAATGTACAGGTGGAAATGAACTGAAGTTAGAACAATTATCAAGAGGTTCACAGAGAGAAAATAAACTATCAAAATATCAGCTGTTTTACCCTTTACAAACAGATCTATAATGTTGATTATGTACATATAAACAAATGACCAATCGCACGATTCGGTATTTCCCAGAGAACATATGATGTTCATATAAGCTGCCAAAAACACCCAGCACTAAGAGGAAGAAGGCACATAAGATTTTAAGGATTTTTAGAAATCAACACTATTAGAAGCCATGTTCTGTTCCCTAATACAAATATTATATTTAAATACTTTAATAGCAGGGAAACTGATATGTCAGAAATCAGTATTTTCTTTGCTCTCTTTGTTGTTAAAATAATTTTGAATGAACAGGAAGCACATAATATCTAATGGAATAGGCTGTGCGCTATATATACAGAAATGATAATGATAATTTAGGAGCATAGGTCATACAAAATTTAAATAGTGGACAGTAGATTAAAACTACCTACAATATACTTCAACATAAAAATTCATGCATTTAAACGTTAACGGTACACAAGTTACACTGTTATGGATAATTAACATTAGTTTTATAAATATAAATATTTAGGCCTTTTTGCAGAGTAATATTATATTTGTAAAGAAATCTGTTGGAATATTATTTTTTTTGTTCAATTAATTTCTGTTTTATCTAAATTTTAAATAAATATGTTGGAGGAACAGATTCTTGGGAGTTATAGAACATTTTTCAACCAAAGCATAACAGGTTAGTCTTATTTCTTATTGTGATCCAGTAAAATTAGTGACCCTCTTAGTCTCTATTATCCCCCACTAATTGCTTTAAAAAAATATATATTTTTTATTACTCCTTGCCAAAAACCAACAGATGTTTAGAAACAATGGGCATGGCTGTTTCTTGAGGTTGGTTTTGAAAGCAGTTGTAACAAAATTGTAGATAGTAACAATCAAACGATTACCAAAGCTCACTAACAAACGAAACGAAATTTAGTAGCTTTTATTGTTACAAATGAGTGGGATACGTCTGAGATAAAACAGGAATATTGGGATTTCGTTGCACCAAGAGGGCATTCCTGAACTACCTTAATGTAGCGCTTTTTGGCAGGGAGAAAAGTCAGTTCAGTGCTAGTCATATTCTGAACTACATCAAAAAATTATAAATGAATGTAATTATGTTATTAGCACATAGCTTTGCTATTTGACACTGCCAAGTCTTCTACATTTCTGTAAGTTAGAAGAAATCAAGGAATGCTTAACCTGCCTATCAATTTAACATTTAGAAATAAATTAGACTAGAATTCTTATTTAAAAAACATAATTGCTCTCAATGGTTGGTTAGTTAAAAAATTTGGTTTAAAATGTAGTATAATGCTGCCTATTTTAACAATACTATTTTTCTCAGACTCATCACATCTTGGAAATATTTTTTTTGCTCAAAGAAGACTACAGCATGTGAATTTATTGATTTCATCGATAGCATATACATATATAAATGAATTGTCTCCTAAATTATTTTGTAAAATGTAGATAACTTACTTGCTGCAAACTAAAGAAACATCTTCAAAGTATTTATGCTATAAAAACTTAACAGTTATGTAGTCACAAAAACATAAAAGTATTTCTGTTGATAGTCTAGAGCTTCAAGACTGCATTTGTCAAGTTTACAAGTTAGTAGTTTTACTGCGTCTGAAAGAGAAAACAAAGATATTTAATTAGTAGACTTTTAAGTAATTAAAGAATTGTGCAGTTAATTAATGGTCTACAATTATATTGAAAGAAAACTCTCATGATACAGCGACAAAGACAAGTGGTTTCCGAATTGTTTTCACAAGACTGCTTTTGCATACAGAAAATGTGCTCTTGATACATGACATGTAATTTTAATGTACTGGTTATTCTCGATTAATGCAAAACCAATATTCAGTAAGACATTCTTAATTAGCTGTAACTGAAAATATGTGAGTCTAGGTTCATTCATAACTTACATTATTGGGTCACTGGATTATAAGATTACATTCCTAAAAAATATTTTATATATTATGCTCCATCTTTAAATGTTATATATCTTTAACTCCTCACCAACAGTTAATGAATGTTAGTTATACCATTTAAAACCAACAAAAGAAAGTCTTAAATAATCTTACAAATAAAATAATTATGGTATGTATAACTGCATTAAATGTCAGGTTTTAACATTCACTTACTTGCGACTGTGTCCTTCCAAGGCCACAGAACACCTTTCTTCAGTGTCAGTCCACTGTAATCCTGGGTCATACCTAGGTGTAGTTGGGCTGCGTCTTTTTCTTGACCCTGGTGATACTTGTTTCAAAGTCTCTACATCATGAAAGACAACTGCTGAACCACCTCCAAGTGTGGGAATAACATCACCCTGATGAGAATTTAATGTGTAATGTAAGGGACTAAAAATGATTTTTCCACTACTGATGATTACCTAATAGTTGAACTATGCTGTTTTTGCACATACAATATAAAATCTTGATCTAGTGTCATTAGTTTTCCTGGTACGGTGAGGGTGGTGTTGCTGAAATATTATTACTGTGTGGGACATACCTTAATCAGCTTGGTGACTAGTTCATCACTGGAGTCCTGCTCTTGATGAGTGAGAACATACTTGGTTGCCGATTTAGTGTCCTTTACATCCAGCTTAGTAACTGACTTTTTTTTAGCCATGTGAGGCTGGAATAGTGTATCTAAATAGAAACAAATCTAGCCATTAAATATGAATGTGCAAATTGAACAATCATTTATAAATTTTGCTGTGTGACGCACTATTCGTACAGTGTTTCTTTCTTGTATTTTGTACATTCCCTAATTAATAATGTTAATATATTTACTAGTTACTAGGTGCTGAAACATATGTTTGCACTTAATTAAATTATTATTTTTTTATAATTATTATGAAGTATAATTATTATTTATTGTTATAAGAAGTATTGCTGTTTAAAAACTGAATTAATTATAATTTGAAGATTCTTGCAATTTTCTCTTTGAAAAAGAAATTTTGATACATTAAATCCTGATTTCATTTTAAATTGTGATGAATGTGTTCATCTCACTTGTTTCCACTACATCCGTTGGTTTATGCTCCAGCCAAGTCTCAGCACTACCAGAAGATTTAGACCGTCTGTGATATCTGGGATTTATCACTGGTTGTCTCTGTGGGGGCGGAAATGATTTCAAAATAAGAGCTGTGTTCTATCAAAACCAATTGTAAAATATCAATTTGAGAAGAAGAATATTTTGATTTTTGCTTAGTTGTCATTAGACTGGTTATTCAAAATGTTTGGTAAGATATAAAACCAAAAGTATAACTAAAATAGACAATTAGATTTAGATGGCTATGAAAAGACTAGCTAAAAAAGATTTTATATCTCTTCATTCCTTTTATTTGACCAGTCTTTGCACCAACAATTTGACTTAGCCAATTATTAGTTATCCCATTAAAACTAAAAGACAGTATAATCAAATTTAATGCAATAGAAAAAAATTGTGTAATGATATACCCTACCGATTTGCTAGAAGATGGAGTTACACCAACTTGGGAAAGGTTGGGAATGGATTTAGCTGCTGGGATTCTGTTAGTACTTCGTGATTGCACTCTCGTATTCCCCAAACGCCCTGCAGCTATAGCTGCTGCTCTTGCAGATGATGCAATAGTGCTTGACCCAACTGAAGTAATGTCAGTTTCAGATCTAAAGCAAGGAAGTGTGTAATGAGAAAATTAAAATTATCGAGTGAAAATAAGTTCCAGATTATAATTATCTATATAGATAATTCGCCAGCAAAGGTCAAACACCACCAGGCAGGCTATATATAGATACGCCAGAGTGTAGTTCCATAATGAGTCCACTAGCACGCAAAATATAATTCCCGATAACTACGCTAAATGATATATAAATATTTGTAATAACGCAATTGCGTTTGGTGCGAATATTTTCTTTTCGGAAATGAAATCGTCTTAATTTAAGTATTGTGTAAAAAGTATTCGGTTTAAAAGTGGTTGGGACATAAGAATATTAATATAGTTCATGGGCGTAAAATAAAAAGTGTGCAGTGACGTATCATGGGGGAAGGGGTGTAGCAAATATTGGGATTCTTAAATGTGCATCACTTGAGTTCACGTTTTTGTCAAGTAACTTTTTAGATGGGAAGTTCACGCATTGCTGTTGCCAATGTTTGGCGGGCTATATCTAGTTTAATATATTTGTTTACAAAAACAACACCAAATTAAAAACAACTTTTTAAAATAAATTAAATTTTAAAAAGCAACATTTCTTAATAAACTTATCGAAATTATAAAAAATATATTATTAGCAGCTTTTTGGGGGTTTTTTTTATGAAAGAGAAATAACAATATTTTACATTGCAGGTTGCATATTAGCAGGTGTTGTAGCACAAGTGCGAGGACGAGGAGTGGGATTAGGAGTATTACGTTGACGGTTACGTGGAGTAGCAAGCACATCATTCTCATTGACAATATCACGAAGCAACTCTAGTTTCCTGTCCTTTTCATCAAGTTCGTTTTCTTTCTCTTTCTCTACCTTTCTCCTGGCTTTTTCCTGAAACAGTTATTTAAAAATATAAGAAGGGATATTAAAACTGTCTAGTTAATTACTAAAAATATAACTGAAAATGTTCAAACATTTTGAACCAATCTTACCAAATTTTTTTCCCAAGCTTGGTTGTTCATCTGTAGACGATCCCGGAATTCAGCTCGTAATTTATCATTTGCACTTTTCTCAACCTGAATCTTCCATGCCTTATCTTGGACCTAAATAATATAATATAGGACTTCAAAAGTAAGAAGAAAATTTTTTTTTTTTAATTAAAAGAAATAATGGCATATAGTGATATATTAACAACATATAAAAATATGATAAACTGGTTTTGCTGGTACTGGTAATGCTGCTTTTTTCATAAAGCTCCCTCGGATTTGTTATGCAATATTTTCGGATTCATATTGGTATCTGGCTGGCCATTGATAAGCCTTTTAATGCCCTCCTTTAACTGGTTCTTATTCTTCTTCTATATATTAAGGGGCCACGATCAATTTATTGATCATTTTAGATCCTAATCCTATGCATGTTGAAGGGATTTGCAATGTTTCTGTGCCTGTTGTTGAGGATATTTTCCTGGTTGCAAGGGCTACTTTGTGAGGGTATCATGCACTGGGGGTTGGAAGGCTTGAGGCAATAGACGCAAATGTGTCAAGTGTTGTCGCCTCAACTGTTCCTTTTGAAAGCTTGTTCCAGTCCCTGATTATCTTTGGCAGGAATGAGCAGTTCCTATACTGGCTTCTCTCTGGTATGACCCAGAATTGCCTGTCATGGCCTCGTCGCTGTCTGTGGGTGAAAGGGATGAGTTTCTGTTTAATGCTAGAGGAGTGGAGCAGCCCATTATTTATCTTGTACATTATGGAGAGCCTGGATAGTCGTCGTCGTTCCTGCAATGGTGACCAGCCTCGTGTTTCCAGCATGCTGCCAAAACTAAAGGTAGTCCTGTAGCGGTTCGGGCCAAAGCGTGCTGCCTGTCGCTGGACAGTCTCCAACCTGTCGATGCTCTTCTGGGTAAATGGGTCCCAAACTGAAGATGCATAATCTAAAACAGGACGGACAAAGGCTTTATAGGCTCTTTCTTTCACACAGGAGTTGCCAATCTTTAGATTACGCCTTGTCTGTTTGCCTGGTTGCACACACTGTTAATATGCTCGTCCCAGCGGACCTGTCTTTGATAGGTAGCACCCAGGTACTTTATGGAGGAAACTGGCTCATGTAAATGGCCACGCAGTTCGTATTGGTAGTGTAGAGGAGTACAACTTCTAGAGACTGATAGTGTCTGGCACTTGGCAGGGAGAAATTCCATGTCCCAGCTCATCTCCCACTCAGCTAACAGATTAAGATCCTGTTGTAGCTGGTCCTGGTCAGATCTGTTGGCGATCGTCTTATTCACTGCTGTGTCATCTGCGAACAGTCTTGCTTGGGATGTCAGTTTCTCGGGGAGGTCATTAATGTATGTTAGGAACAAACAGGGGCCTTGCACTGATCCCTGGGGGACCCCTGACTTAACACAGACAAAAGAGGAGCTTGTACCGTCCACCACTATTGCTTGGCATCGGTTGCCGAGGAAGCTAGACTTCCGTGTTTTAGTAGTCCCTTGGATCCCATAACTCTGAAGTTTGTGTAGAAGCAAACTATGATTGACACGGTCAAATGCCTTTGAGAAGTCCATCACCAGCATGTCAGTTTGCTTGCTGTTCTCCAGATTGGTCATCAAGTCTTCTACAAATTCAAGGAGCTGGGTCTCACGTGATCTATTAACTCGGAAGTCATGTTGACAGTCATTGAGTATAATTTGGCTTTCAAGATGCTTCATGACTGCGCTTACGATTATGTGCTCCAACAGTTTGCTTACCACTCTGGTGAAGGATATCAGATGATAGTTGGCAGGGTCGGAATGCTCCCCTTTCTTTAGATTGGAGTGACATGTGCTTATCTCCAGTCTGCTGGAACACTGCCGGTGCAGAGCGACGATTGGAAGAGGATTGTCAGTGCAGGAGCGATTTCTTTGGCTAATTCTTTGAGCACTCATGGTTTGATGTCATGACCACATGCTTTGTAAGGGTTAATGATTTGAGGAGAGCAAGCACACCCTCCCCTAAAATCTGGGTAGCTACCATGACGGAGTGGGCTATGTTCATCATGTTGGTCTTCAGAAGGAGTACTCTCTACTGTAACCAAAGACCAATTGGAACTTCTGATTGAATATGTCAGCCTGTGCTTTTGGGTCACATGTTAAATGGCCATCCCCCCTCAGGACTTGTGGTGCTTCACACAGCTTCAGAAGCGCTTGTTCTTGACACCCTTGGTCTGAGTGTCTTGAGAAGATGTCATTCAGGTAGTTCCAGTAACATCTTTGCAGTAAGCGTTGTGGATGGTTCGGGGAGCCATTTTTCTTCAATCGCTTGTATTGGCGGTCTCTCCTGTGGATGAGCCTAAGGATTTCAGTCGTGACCCATGACTGAATTATCTTAGGTTTGGTGGTCTTGTGTGGTATGAATTTCTTCACTGCATCAGTGATTGTTGTCTTAAACTTCACCCACAGCTCTTCTGTTGTCGCTGTACCCTGAATCTCCTGCATGTTTGAGCTCAGCTCTATTGTTGCACTCCTCAGGCCATCCCAGTCTGCTTTGACATAAATTGGGATTTCCTGGGATGACCTCAACTTTTGGGATGAGATGTGGACAGTTGGTGAGGAGTAGGTCAAGAGTGTTTCCCCCTCTCGTGGGTTCTTTAACCAGCTGTTCCAGACCATGGTTGTTAATCATCTCCATGAATTCAGAGTGTAGGACAGGGTATGGGGACTTGGGCTTCAAAGCAGGAATCTGCCAGTTCCAACCAGGAAAGTTAAAATCCCCCCTAAGGAGAAAAGCGTTCTTTGACTGTGTTGATCTCTGAAGCGATACCTAGAGTGTGCGTCTACCCTTCAGTTTCACTTTCATCCACAAGAGCTCGCAGTCATCAACATCTAGTTCTGGAACAGTGTGACAGTCCAAGTTGTGGAGGACAGCAACAAGAACGCCTCCTCTTCTGTCTTTTCTGTCTCGACGGAATAATTTGTAATAATCCGGGACAACCTCTGTGTTGGCTATGGAGGGGTTCAGCCATGTTTTTGTATTCAGTATGATGTCAGGTTTTAGGCTGTTATCAGGTTTGCTATCTGTACTCTCTTCCCGCTTGCAGAATGAAAGTTCTCGAATGTCTCTTGGTATGGAGATTGAGTGATTCAGAGAGAAATCTGGGAAGGTAGAGTCTGTCCCTGCACTATGGAGGTCAAACACAGACTGGCTAATCTGGCCACCGCACACAGTATAGTACCATGGCACGTCAGAATTTCAGAATGTTAGTTGTACTTAGCTATGGTAACATTGCCCACATTGTTCACAGGCAACACCTCTGTCCTCCAACTGTACAGCAAGGTCACATGCTCCGCAGATCCATGATGACTGGGATTTGGAACACGAAGGGGTATGCAAGGGAGGACAGCCAGCACTCGTAACGACTTTCGGTCCAAGAGAGTACGAATTTGCCAGGAGGATGCAGGCCAGATACAATAGTACCAGTCTTTGACGGCCTAAGGGCCTCTGAGTAAAGCAAGATCGAGATGCTCTATGTAAAATATCTACAAACACAGTGAGCAGTACCAGCTGTGTGGAAAAATGTCTTTTTACTGAAGTCTAAATTGTCATATAAAGAGCCCATTTCTGGTCTCTTGGCATCACAGGTGAACAAGTTATTTACCAGAGCCATTACCACAATGGTATATAATGCAATATTGTATTTGAACATGCCACAAGTCACTCCGGTGTGTATCAGTCTGAGAGCACACACAGGAATAGAGCTTTGCTACGCCTCAAGTAAGACAGGAAGTGATAAAAAAACATGGCGTCGAATATCAACAATGCAGTACAAACCCTGAAATCACATAATTAGCTAAACATATTGAAGACAGTCTTCCTCTTTCGCCTCTTCGTCCTCGAGGGACAGCAGCCAATCTTCATCGATGTCTGTGGTCCTTCCTAGGACATAGGCCGCCTACAAAGAGTCCTCCAGGCATCTAATCCCGACTCAATCTCTCCAGCTTCCCCCGAGTGTGGCCAAGTTTCTTGGTATCTGCTTCCACTTCACGGCGCCAAGTATTCCTCGGCCTGCCTCTTTTCCGTTTTCCTTGAGTGTTCCAGTTCAGGGCTTGTCTAGTTATGCTGGAAGCAGGTTTCCTTAGTGTAAGGCCAATCCATGTCCATCTTCGCCTTTCCTATTTCTATTGGCCATTGACTGGGTGATGAAAACATCCACACAGCAGAAGCGGAATGGTACACAATGGACCTTGTTGGACCAGCTTGACAACCGCGATTTTGTTGATTGAAGACACTAACTTTTGGCTAATCCCTTGACCAGCAATGGTGACATTTTATTTTGTAAATCACAGTTTGTTGAGGATTTAATTGACTAATAATGTCATAGTCAAAAAAATATTCCTCATCACAAAAAACATGTAAACGAATCCCATCTAACCGGAAGTTGCTAAAGTTCTTATTCATTTGAAAATATTAACTAATGAAATCAATTAGGATCTTCTGTTAATTAAAAATCACTTGAATAAACTGACTATGTAAGATCCTTAAATGCACTCTCCCCCTTTTTTAAAGTTCATCCATGTTGTTTTGATACCACCTAATAGATAATTGAATCATTAAAGGAAATTTTATCTTGACAGGCAGTATTTGAATACTGGTTTATAGATTTATTGTGAATGAAGGCCAGGCTAACATGATCTGGATTATCAAATTTTTTTATAGTTGCTTACTGCCTGTTAAGATAAAATTTCCTTTAATGATTCAATTATCTATTAGGAGGTATCAAAACAACATGGATGAACTTTAAAAAAGGGGCAGAATTCATACAGCAAATAATTAAAAAACTCAAGTTAGACCTGCAGTGCAAGTAATTGATTTTCCCTTTCTAAATCTTTCAATTGTCGGGTCACTTCATCTAGTTTGCGTTCCAAATTCTTGTTTTTATTCCCCAATTTGACAACTTGCTTGTCCCTCTGGTTAAATTTCTCTTCCAGATCCATCATGCGGCCTTTCATCTGGCCATAGTCTTGCTCAAATTCCACCAGTTGGGAACGGAAAGATGAGCCTATAAAAGTAAAGCAGGTTTCAATTATTATCAATACAAAGATAACTAAGAAATAGAAACAACTACAAGTAGCACATTTAGAGACATAGAACTGAAAAATGCAACTGCTAAATCTATTCTTAGTAATTATTTCAAGGGCCCCATAGTTCTCTTCCCTCTGCGACCCTAATCTCTAACTTAACATTAAAATTTTAGAGAAAATCAGCCTAATTGGGGTTTAAAGCTATTCGAGTCTGATCTTTGGAAAACATGCTTTGGAAATTTAACGTAACTTTTGACAATAAAAAGGTTGGCAGCTTATGAAAATGTCCATAGTTATCTGCAATTAGGTGAAATCGATCAGCAAGCCAGCTATTGGTGAGGAGCCAACTTATTTTTAGGGTTAATATTACTGGGGCTATTCTATCCTGATATAACACTAGGGTCTCTCTTTTGGGATCTGCAAGTTTTTAGTAAATAAACAACTGACCTGGAACGTTTCCCATCATGGGAAATCTGAGGTACACACTTTTAGTATAATTTTCTAAGGTTTTTTTTTTAATTTTCAGCAAATGACAGATTGCAAGAAATTTTTGCTATAAACCATGAACCTCTAAAACTCTAGATAGCTGCGCTGAATGAATAAGCTCAATAGCTCTAGTATACAGGTTTTCAAGTAACTGCCATTTAGCAGCAAGTACCCTTACCATAATATATTGGAATAAAGTTGTTAAATGGGGTAAATTCTTGGTAAGGAAAACGTTCTATAATTTAATCTTCCAAAATAATGTAAATGGTGACATATTAAATGTCACGAATGAAATTTTAACTCAAACCTTAAGACATCAATTAAAAAGAAAATTATTTTAAAATCATTACTTCTCTTAATCAGCTGTTTCAGCTGGCCACCCCACATTAATCCCTTAGAAACCCTATTTTGTGTGACCTCCATAGGCTGGAAACCTGTGCTCTACTACAGAGGTTCCCAATCTGTGGTACGCAAACCCCAGGGGGCACTGGTCAGACTGCTTCGTGTGTCAAACAAAGCAAGATATTCGTGTGTCCAACAAATCCCTTGTTACAAGTTGTTAAAAACTTTTGCTTGTAAAACATTTAGTGATGGATTCTAAACTAGAATTAGGGATCTGTCAATTGTGTAAAGAATGTAAAACTCATAAAGTGTTGATTTTTTTCCATATAGACCGTTACATCTTGCTTTTACTTAGCAAGCATATTATTAGCCAGTTATCCATTACTAGGGATAAACGGTGGAAAATTAAGCAAATGACCAAACTCTCAACTACCCTAAAATTGTTTTTTATCCATTAATAGACAATAGCAATTATTATTAAAAGAAAAAAAAATCAATTTTTTTTAAATAGTTTAATTCATTTTTTAATTAAATTAAATTTGAAATCGGGACTTCCCTGGATGAGGAAAAATTCCTTTCCCTTATTCCGTGATAAGCCAATTCTCCACAAATTGAGAAACCCTATATACAGCTAACTAATAAGTGTAAATTGATTTTTATGTGAAAAAAAGAGGCTTACAAGATCTTTCATAATCAAATGCCATGTCCTGTCTACGTCTAATCCTCTCATTCAAGCACTGGATGATGTTCTTGATAGTTAAGTCATCAGTTGGGCTTATCAACTGAATATAAAAAAAAAGAACCTATAAGAAAGGATTATATTTAACATATCAAAGAGCTCACACTGTTAAATGCTATACCATAAAATGTGAAAAATGAATTCAACATCTATATTTGCAAAAGTATATTTATATGTTAATATCATTAGTCATTAAAATTACCTCTAGAATAGGGAAAGGTGGTCCTACTGTAAAATCAATTAGTGATGGTGGAGGAAGAAGCATAATTTCTGTGAAAAAAATTAGGCAAAAATTGTTTAATTCTTTTGTGTGTGTGTTTGTAATGATGATCACACATATTGTACTGTCATCTGAGACAGCACCATAAGCAATAATTTTAAAAAAAGCTTCACTTCATATTTAGTTACTTTATGATGAATACCCTCCCATCCCTTTCATGCTTATTAAGACATACTTTAGCGGGCAATAAAAGTTTAGCGCATGTACCAATAAATACACATAGCTGCAATATTCAAATGCATTGATTTTAATTCTTCACACCGAAGATGAAACAATTATCAATGCATAAAATTAACTGAAGAGTGTACCTTCGGCTGCATGTGTACCTTCCTGATGCATCCGCCTTCGACCTGGTGTGAGACCTAAATCAAATTTGTTGGTCTGTTGTGATTTCGTTATAAGGACTTCCTGAGTCATTTCAGCAAATTTCATCACATGCTGAATAAAAAATGTAATAATTTTTTAAAAATTAGCAATCAAAAACAGCCCTTCTAAAACAAGTCAAGTGTACAAAAAATTATATCAACCTTTCAAAGTACTGTGGTATTTAATAATGTACTTACAACTGTCTCTTCATACTCTGTGATCTTGGGGTTAACACAGACAACCATTCGCACTTTACCATCTCCATCAAAAAAGTTTTTAAACAAATGTGTCAAACGGGTGTCTCTGTAAGGAACCATCTGCAAGAAAATGTAATGTAGTGTAAGGATCACATATATGAAAATCTAAATGAGGATTTTTGGTGTATTTTTACAAATTCTATTAGCTTATGTCTAATTAACAATATACCTTATTGGTACCACATTTTTGGTTTTCTCTTAGAACTTCCAAGCAATTACGAAGCACCATAAGAGACTGATTGATATTCCCTGCTTCTTTCAATCGGTCTCCAGAATTTTTGGTGCGATTGGTGCGTTCACTACCAGCAAGATCAACAAGAGAAAGTTGCGATACACAGATTTTCTCAGCATCCTTAAATGAAATTTGGAAAAAATCAAATTAAGTTAATCAATGCTTTTTGCGCAAACAGATAAGTTATTAAAATTAAATTCGTTAATAATTAATATTTCAACATGCCTCTGGAATAAAAGGCGTCATGTAGTTAGTAATTCTTTCATAATGCTTTTAAAATGACAAAAACATAATATTAATAAATTTCTAATTTGTTTTGGTTTTTATCACATTTTTTTCCCAACTTTTAATCAAACTAAAATAAAAATTATAACAAATAGATAAACATTTAATTCTGAAACATCTATTATATAAACCTTTAACTGATCATGAGCCCTTAATATATAGAAGAAGAAGATAATGTTTTTAAGTATTTATTTTATAATTTTCAAGCTGAAATGATATTCCAAAAGGACTTAACATTAACTTCTTAATTGTCTATTTCAAACAAACAAATTATAAACAGTAAAAAAAAATTCATTTACATGAGCAAATAGAGGACAACAAGCAAAAGATACACTCAACCATTTTTAAAAAACTCAAATTGTCTAGCTATGTCTATAAATGAATTTACTTTAAATCTGTTTGATACATTATTTTGAAATATTTTGGATATTTAAAACTATCTACACAGCTCTACTAAATGATGCTGAGAGAATTAAGATGAGGGATACAGTTTGAGGAAATATATAAATTAGGCAGAATTACGCTAAATAAACATACAATTTGAAATGAAAATAAATTCAAATGAAATTTTTAATTTTTTAAAAATTAAATCCGAAAACTAATTAGAAAAAAAATAGCAATTCACCAAACTTAAGAAATCATAACTTACATAGTAAACAACATCATCCTGTGTTGTAATTTTTTTTTTAAATGAACAGATTTTTGATACCAGAGAAATTCACACAAAAAAAAAAAACCCACAGTACCAGTAAAACACACCCCACCTGTGATTAAAAGGGGTCATGTCTTAAAATTGCCTTTTTCAGTTTTGATAGGTATTCTTTTCAGGTAAATCAAAGTTTATAAAAAAAACCACAGTACCAGTAAAACACACCCCACCTGTGATTAAAAGGGGTCATGTCTTAAAATTGCCTTTTTCAGTTTTGATAGGTATTCTTTTCAGGTAAATCAAAGTTTAGTTACTTGAATGATAAAGGAATAACAATTGATGCTACACAAAATTATAAATGTTTGTAAAAATTTCTTAAAAATTTAGGATTATGTGTGGTGTTAATTAAAATTAAGTACCATGTATTTAAACCATACATTTACAGACCTGTTTACCCTCAAACTCCTAAAATCGTACAATATCGTCTCAAAATCGTACAATACAGTATCTTAATAGTAAATAAATAAATATACAGTATATATAATATATAATGTATACAGCATCTACTGGTAGGCCTATAGCGTGTGTCAGTGGCATCCAGTTCAGCGGTTTGTCAAAAAATGGAACTGAAGGTAATCAGTATTCCACTGACGTTAACTGCAAACTGCGGTCACTTCATTTTGAAGACCTGCATCTGCTAAAGATACCTACATGTTTGTGTCCTACATGTTTGTGACCTCCATAAACGCTATATTTATTTTTATCCCACCCTTTATTTTATTTGTGTATTCCCTATTTCGAAGTGGACTTGTAAGAATTTCATCCAGGAAACCCTGGCGAAAACCTAATATGACATATGCACCGGGAAAAAAAATTATAAGAACCACTGGCGTAGCCCAACGAAATATGCGTCACACGCGCGCTGAAAACTCATGACTAAACACAACTGTAACTTCTCTACTACTGCTAGCGAATTTATTGGTGAAAATACATCTTGACAACATCACCGCAATAATTCCTACAAAACATTGGGTGGTATTTTACAGCATTCGAGATAGAATGCTATTTTTGGACTTTCAGAGTTAGGAGATGAATATTGTAGATTTTTTAAATAACGTACGTTCTTTCTGCCGAGGAACAGCCCTCCCCCCCCCCCACCTGTCATTACGGAAATGTCGCGGTGTTGATTGTATAGATTTAAGTATTTAGACCCACGCCAAACCCAAAATTTCCTAAATCAACACCACTCCTTTTGTCCTGATAGATTGTTCATGAAAAGTCCGACTTGCAGATTGCGTAATTGTGCAGTGCGCGCATGATGGACCATTCCACAAAGAACGCAACTCAGTCAATTTTGTATGATATTCAAGCAAGACTATCTGCTGATAAACTTTCTTTTTCTGTTGTTGACTCGGATGTTTATCGGTAGAAAGAGAAGTTTCTTCTTCATCACCCATTCCGCGAGCCTTTCTTTTTTTCGAGGTCATATCGTCAAATACTAAGTGAGGTCAACTACGGAACCGAAAACAAGAATGATGGCCGATTCCATTAATGATAATGGTAACATTACAATCACGCAATGTGCACATAGGTCAATGCAGCCAAATTCTAGCGCCAGAGCTGTTTGGACAGCTCATATATAAAATTTCAAATAAAAATGAAAAAGTTAACAATGATTCATACCTCGCCCCCCCCCCCCAGCCGCACGCCCTGTCAACTTAAAGGGCCATCCAAAGATTACTTACTGGCTGAGGATGCGTATGAGTTTTGATTGGGTTGGGGG